ATTTATGTGAATCAACTGTTGGTTTTTGCTTTTCCTTTATCATGTTTTGGATGAATTCAAGATTTGTTTTTGAAACTACGTATTTGCTACTAATATTTATTTTGTAAATGATTCTATCCAATTATGAGTTCTGAAATAAGATCACATCTTACTTCTCTAGATGATTAAGTTTCTTAGCAGCCTCTTCTATTTTATCTGCTTTCATCAGCATGATCTATCATAATTTTGTAGATATTATATACCCAAGACAGTAAAAACCGGGGATGGGGTTGTAGCTCAGTGGTAGAGCGCTCGCCTAGCACGTGCCGAGGCTCTGGGTTTGAACCTCAGCACCACATAAAAATAAATAAATAAATGAATGAATAAATAAAATAAAGGTATTGTGTTCAATTACAATTAAAAATAAATATTAAAAAGACAGTAAAAACCCCTTTATGTTATCCTCTGCAAAGATAAATCTGTTGCAAGATTAATAACATGTAGCCAATAGCCAAGTGGTAATGATTTTTACATTTTATGCTGTTTCTTATAACTTATTTTATGGCTCCACTCTGTGGTGCAAATAATTGAAAGCAGGCTATAATAATTGTTGCAGTTTGCTCATAATACTAGGAACAATTAGTGTCCCAAATAAATTAACAGTGATTTTTGTTTCTCTGAGCAAGTTTAATGAAAATATGCTTTGTAAGTACTTATTTTGTAAGTAGAGATACAGGTTGAATTTCATTTAGTTTTAATTGCCCTAAGCCTTTAATATTTTTAAGTGCTACGTTAACTATTAAGTAAAGAGATTTATCAAATACATGTAAAGCATAGAGAGTCAACATTCAATAACCTGTGTGCCCACCTCCAAATTTAAGGAAAAGGTCACTACTACTACTTCTCGTGCTTTCTGTGAACCCCTCATTATTCTCACACACTTCCTATGTCATGGCATGTTCCACTATTCTAAAATTAGTGCTTAATTAGTGCTTATTAATCACCAAAGTTTTAAAAATAGATAAGCCATGTATATTTATGTGTCCCTAAACATTTTAGATTTTCATGGTTTTTTTTTTGTGTATTAAATAAACAAACAACAGCCTGCTTATTAATTTTTTATGACTTCTTTTTATATTCAATATTATGACCCCAGGATCCATCTGGTAATTTGTAATGTAAAACCACTCATTTTTGTTCCTGTTTGGCATTCCATTTATAATCATGCCATAATTTAGTCGTTCATTCTATAACTGGGGAAACGTGTTGCTTCCACCTTGCTCTTCTGAACAGTGTGATGCTGAAGTTCTGTGGGAATCTCCTAGAACATCAGTGAAAAAATAAAGGGCAGTAAACTGGGAACCTGGTAGGGGGCATGAAGGTGTTTTCCATATGGTATGGAGCACTAATTGTTTAGGGGAAACAATTTCCCAACACTTTGTTTCTCTATAAACTCTTCTAAAATTGATCTCTGTGAAAACTTTCTCAAGATGCAGATACTGCTTATCTATTTCTATAACAATCTTCTCCCTAACTTTATAAAACACACCTGTCTTCTTGGTGAATCTTACTATAATGCTTCATTTAGAAATGAAAATCACTCTAAAGTACTGAAGAAAGAACTGTTTGAATTATTGTTCTAGGATGGTATTGAGAAAATTTATTATATGAATGTCTACTGTTATGGCTTAATTGTGTCCAATCAAAATTCTTATGTTTGAAGTCTTATACCCTAATACTTCAACATCTATTTGGAGATTAGTCACAATCAGAAAAAAAATAGGAATTTTTTTTGAATTTCAAATTCTAGAAAAAAAACAATATTTATTCACAAATAATTAACTAATTTGAGTTATTCATCTCCTTAAGACATAGCTTATTATCTGAACATGGTGGTGAATGCCTATAATCCAGTGACTCAGGAGGCCAAGGCAGGAAGATCATTACTTCAAAGCCAGCTTCAGCAACTTAACAAGGCCCTAAGCAATTTAGCGAGACCCTGTCTCAAAATAAGAAATAAAAAGGGATGGGGATGTTGCTCAGTGGTTAAGCACCCCTGGGTTCAATCCCAAGTACAGAGAGAGAGAGAGAGATTATTGTTTTATTCTTATTTTAGTTTAATAGTATTTATAAAATTGGAAAGTGTACTTAAGGATGTTTTGATCATTATGCACCATTATAAGGTGAACTCAATCACAAATTGGTTTGAAACATTTAAAACATTTAAATTTGAATTTATAACCTGATTTTTATTTGGAGAAGATATAGTCATCAAAGACTTCCAGATTTAAAATATTACATTAAAGTAAAATTCTGTATAAAAATGACTCTGAGAGGGTACAGGGATAAAGTAACACTGAAAAATATGTCATTCTGTTGAAGTCCCTATTTTAGTATTTTCTAAATAGATGTGTGTGAGTATCAAGTTACTATGCTATTTACATGCCATTGGAAACACTTAACAATGTGATGTAATAGTTTTATTTTAAAAGGTCAGTATTTACCACATATTGGAGCTTACATCATTTGGAACTTTTTAAAATTAGGGTGAAAAATTTGGATGGCAATTTAAAAATATGGCACAGGGTACACTTTCACAAAATGCCTTAGATATACAATAAGCAAAAAAGTTTGAAAAACAATGTACAATAACTAAAAACGATTGCTGGTTCAGAAGATATGCTTGTCATCAATTTTACAGAAGAATGCTACACACACACAAACACACACACACACACACGTCAGCATATTAAAGTGAGTTCTTTTCTCCATAGTTTCCCCAACTTATAGAATTATCAGTTTTTTAACCGATATGCATGTGTATCCAGTGATATCTTATGCTTTTGATTTGCATTTCTCTGTTCACTAGTTAGATTGAGAATGTTTTTCATATATTTTTCAGTCAAATGGGCTTCCTGCTCTGTAAAGGGCCTATTCAGGCTTTTGCATATCTGTTTTCCTTTGTGTTTTTCTTATCGCTCACAAAGAATTCTTGGTGTATTCTTATTAGTAACTCTCTCAGTTATATGATACTTCTAATTCATAAATTTTATTTTTATGCTCTTTATAGGATTATTTGATAGATGAAAGTATACCTTTGCATCTTATTTAAAAAATTTTTCCCCACATCAAAATCATAAAAGTTTTATTGTCTTCTCAATGTTCTTCTTACTTAATTCTTTGTTCAACTCAGAATTGATTTTTGAGGTTCAATGTGTATGTATTCAATTTTGTGTTTTGCTCATAAATCATTGTTATAGCACCTATTATTGAAAGAACCACTTTTTGCCTATTGATCCAAAGGGCCAGCTCTGCAGTCGATCTATTTTCCTTCTATGTATAGCCTGTGTCTGGGTTCTTTACTGTGTTTCATTGGCTAATCTGTCTCCCTGTGCTGGCAGTTCATCAAGCCCATCTCCTGCATCATGTTCCTCCTGCAATTTAAAGGGGCCATGTGACAGAGTTCTACATGGGATGTAGACAGGAGCTGTGTGTGTACCATCACATGTGACTCCTGATTTCCCCATGAGACCCCTTACAATCTTGCTCTTTTGTCTGGTGCAGATGCAGAGGATGCAATGGAGTATGTTGTAAACAATTAATGACAGGGTCTAGATCCATACATATCTGTTCTTCCCTTCTGGCATGTCGCCTTGTACCTCTTCTTTCTCATCTGTCACAACCTGCATTGGACTTTTAAAATAGTATTATTGTTATCATTATCACTTGTTTAAATCTATATAGATAATTGAGAGCTGTACATCAGATCAAAGATATCTATCTATGTATCATATATACCTATAGATCAATACATGAATTCAGTCTCCTGAATCTGTGCACTAATGACTTGTGATTTGGAGGCAACTCTGTGAGGATATAGACTACGTCATTGGTGAAATATATTCAGGAGATTGAATTTTTTCAGGATCACATCTTACACTCTACATAATGGCTTATTTCTCATTCAGATAAGGGATAAAGCACATCTTTATTAGAAAGTATGTGAAGAAGTTACCAGTCCACTGTATGAGATAGGAGCAAAGGTGGTAGATTTGAAATGTGTGTCTTTTCCATATAAGGACAGTTTTTTTTTTAAAGTCTGAGCATAACCCTATTTCAATGACTAGTGAATATTTTCAGTAGTTTTCTTTTTTTTTTCCTACATGACCAGAAACCACATTAAAAATTCCTTTTTTAAAAAAATTTAATGGCAATGCTCCTGACTATTCTTACAGTCATGCAGTGATGTGGATAGCATCTTTGTGCTGCTTGCACATTTAGAGGCAGCATGAGATGGAGAGGTAAAACAGTGCGGCCCGAGGACTTGGCTTGGTTTTACACTGTTTCTCTGCAGTGAAACTCAGTGTTTTGGGGGCAAATTGCTTGACCTGTCTGTGTCTGCTCTTTATAAGGTGGAAATGACAGGAGTCCCGTTTCATATGATTCAATACATAATTTTGCAAAGAACCTCAAACAATACCCAGCACTTAGCAAATCTTGTTAAATGTTGGGTCTCTAGTGTGAGAAATCTGAGCTAATGACCATACATTTGAGGAGACAGAAAAAAATAGACAAAAAAGATGAAAAATCCAAGATGAAGAATATTATGGGAATGAGAAAGATATGATATTCAAATAGAATATACTGATAAAGATGGTTATGTACATTATTGGTCATATAATTTGATATATCTGTGTTTGGCCACTGGAAAAGCTGTATAATAACTCTTTACATAATGAGTTTTAAGATTTTTTTTTAAAAGGCAGTTGCCAAAGAAGTTCAAATTATTCATGTCTTCCCATAAAAAGTATTATGAAAAAAGTTGAAAAATTATGAAGCAAACCAGTCTTTATTGATACATAAGCACATGCAATAAATACAACTGGAATATGATACCTGAGCATACAAGTGGGCTTCATAAAAAAGGAAATAATTGTTTGGTTATCTTTCTCCAAATACTGTCAAATATATATTAGGGTGATCATTGAATAAACTCAGAAAAGACAAAGAGGACAAGATAATTAAAAATATATAACACTTTATTGTCAAAAATAGACAAACTTTAATTTCCCTTAACAGGAACATTAATTTAAGAGCCTCCATAAGCCATCACCATTTTGTAAGCATAACAAGCAAAAGACTGAACGAAAACTGTTAGTGGAAAAAGGATAACAGTTCTACATCCATGCCCGAGTAGCCTTACCCAAACAGTGGTAAGGACTCTAAAACAGCTATAGAAACACAGTGACCTTTTGAGCCCTGAACAATAACAGACATGCAAAACATTGATAGCCTATTGGCCCAGTCCTATGAAGACTGGCTTTGTAGTATCTTTGCAAGCATTTGTAGAGTTCAATTAGCTAGAACACCTGCTCTTTTGAACAGTGACATTTTAGGTCACCTCTAAAGATCAGTAACAGGATCACACTTGTTTTTGTAACACCAGTATGAAGACATCTGTCCCTAACGCCTGGCTTCAGGGAATGTGAAGTGGTGCTAATAGCCTGGGAAGAAGACCTGAATAAGCTCCTTATCCAAAAGCCACAGTAAGAATGTGAAGGCCTTGTTGAATTGAACATTGTCATGTAGAGGCTTTCATTAACATAAAAAAGAAACATAAATGATCTAGTCAGTTGGAAAAAGACAAAAAAAAAAATTAAATTAAAATAAAGGCCTTTATTATTCCCTAGAGACAGGTACCAATGGTGAAAGGGAGCTGGGCATGTGATTTTCATTCTCTAGTCTGCAGAATAAACCAGATCTCTTCAGCTAAAGCAGACTCTATAAATATAAACATCTTGATAATTAAAAGTGTTAGTGTGCAGCCATCTCCTTTGACCACTGAGGTTAAGGAGAGAGAGCTCAATTCCCAGAAATGGCCAGAGATGAGATAACACCGACAGGTGAGATGGTTCATCTGAGATTAAGCATATATAGCATTGAGAAGAAGTTGTTAACAAATGAATCTGAGTGGATCTGAATCTAAGCATTTCTTTCCCATTGTTATAAGTAGGTATTCTTTAGGTGCTCCATGGAATCAACCACAAACACAAAACGTTTAACATTCCATTTTTTCTACTTTAAAGATGACATTCAATACTTGGGAACTAGGAAAACTGAGCTTGTGTCATACCATAAAACCATTTAGAGTAATACTGTGGTTACTGAAAGTGCAGCCCAAGTTTTTCATCGATAACAGAGGAGTGGGGAGAACACCAAGACACCAAGAAACAGTGAAACATTTCTGTTGTCTCTGAGACATTTCTTATTCACTCATACCTAGGGTGAGGTTTGAATTAAGTTCACCCATTTAATTCTACCCTCTTGTCTTCAAATTTGAGTAGGAAATTGGCAGAAAATTGGTGGAGTGGGCTGGATGCTACATGTTTTGATGGACTGAACATTATTTAGATGATTCTTCGATTGAAAAGATCACTTTGAGAACTTAGAGAGAAAAAGAAAAAGCCATAGGAAAGTCAAACCAGGAAAATTTGGTTTATATGACCTATTAGCAAGGCTACCTACACAAAGTTGTGGTATCAAACATAAAACTGAAGCGGATTGCTTCTCTTGCTTCTTTATTCCACTCCATTCTGTAAGAAATGTGATATAAGCAGAAAATGTACACTCTCTTAGGTTATTTCTCAAGAGCCACAAAACCAGCCTGTTAGCTGGGTTGCTATGAACGAGAAACACAGAAAGATGTTCTACATTTGGGGGTTCTGGTGAGGACAGGCAGGGCCAACTACAAATGACTTTAACTGAGTAGCTGCATAGTTTTATTAATCACAAAAGAATCTTTAAAAATGTTTCCTTCTTAGCACTCTTCAATGACTGTGGTTCCAATCAGAGAGTAAAGTTTTTTCTTAACAAGTCGAAATCCTGAACTGAGGATTAGAGTTCGCCTAAGGCCAGATGAGAAGCGACCTCTACTAAAGAAGTCCCTGAAGCTAGTCCATGAGCAGTTCTCCTGTTTAAACACAAGGGTCAGCTCAAAAGTAGGCACCACACTAGCATCACACACAATCCTATCCAGCTTTTTACATACATTTTCAATTTCCAAGTTCACGTGCATCACACAGCCTCGAAGGCCACAGGGTTCTGTGGAAGAAAGCCGCAGGACATCTTGAGCAATTCTCTGGGTCAGTTTCTCTGGGACAAGGACCTTTGAGCAACCGAGTTTGGTTTGCTTTGATTTGGACAGACAGTTCTCTAGCATTTTAACCAAATTCTGGCAGGTTGTCTCCTCAAATATCACCTCGTTGAGGTTGGGTTCAGGAACAACATAATCCCAGTAGTCAAAATCTGTAGGAAATTAAAGTTGTAGATAAAGGAGGAGAAAAAGAAAACCTAGGAGTAGGAAAAACGCTCTAAGATAACAACACAGTTTACTTTTATATATTCTATCTATCTTTTCTAGTATTTTCTGGTAAGTCAGTTGAACTCATTTTGATGTTAACTATCTAGATAAAACAGCAAGTCATTTCAACTCTTATTTTATCTATAAAATAAAGGTTTTGATAAATAAGGTGAATAGGATATAACCACTTTTCTATGAATAGGGTGTGTGTATAAACACACAATCTTAAAGACCACATCAAAAATATATTTGTGGTTATCCAAGATCACTACTAATTTTTTTTTCTCTTTTGTTTATTTACTTATGGGGTTTTTCCAATTTTGTTTTATAAAGAACATGCATTACTTCTGGAATAAAAATGGTTATAACTTTTGTTTTAGACTAAGGGGCTCTTCCTTGCTAACTCTTAGGAATATAGATATTGTGGAATAGAGAATTTTTGCTATAATTCTTAAATGAGTCCATCATGAGCTTGATGAACTATATCAAAGATCTATCAAATTCATGTTTTTCTTTAAAAGTCTTTACTGGAATGGTTTGTAGAACCAATTTTAGCTTCAAGCTCTTTGATTGCTCAAAGAGAGGACCTTTGAGGTTCATGGAGTTATTTATAACTGGCTGGGTAGTTTTTCTTAGCCAAGCAAAACAAAATAGTCCTAGGAAAACAAAATTAGATTTGCTCAAAGGAAAAAGATAGCTCTGCATTTGGTCACCTACCTTCCAAATTAATCCTACCACTTGGCAGGATGCCACACCACACACACATACACAGTCACCAGACCAAAGTATACACAGATGCCCTGCCTGCTTCAAACCCTAAGCATATTCACTTTCATTGGCTACTGCATTTTCCTGTCTCTACCTCATGTATATACTTATTTTTTTATAACTAATACATTCCAAATGATAAGGACTCCATGTTTTATCTCTATCCAAGACAGAGAATTTTAGAGTTTTGGCCATATAAAATTCGGTCATCAACTAATTTTTCCTTCTAAATGAGAAAGGTTCAAAGAGCTTAAGCAATTTATCTATGGTCCCACTGCTCTTTGGTAGCTGGGCAGTATGTTAATTTAGAAAATGCTGTTAAAAGTTGTAAATGACAAAAGTCCACACCACTGCTGTGTAAACTTGCCTTCTGACATTAAAAATGGAATAATGGGTACATTTACAAATAGAATGCTACTCAATAATAAAGAAGAACACACGGATATAAGACATGGAAAAATACTAGGAATGTGGCAAAGAAACCAGATATAAGAGAATGCATGTTGTATTACTTAATTTATCTGAAACTCTAAAAGCAAAACTAATTTATAGTGATCAAAAGCAGATGGATGGCTTCCTGGAGACACGGGAGAGCAGAAACTGATGGCAAATGGGCACATGAGAATTTCAGGGGTGTGATTATGTTGGTTACACAAATAAATACATTTAACTTCACAACCATGTAGGATAAAGAACTTAATCCCAAGGAGCCTGTTAGCAGAGGACTAGAATGGTACATCCCTCCAGTATTTTATTGTTCCTACGTTTGTTTCTACTGGACAGATGATGCTAGAGAGTTTGAGAAGGGATCTCAGAAGGATTTTGTAGCATCCTATGCATTTGAGCAAGGGGTGAAGTCGCACATCAGTCGACCGGATCTATCCAGGGGCTGCGATTTTTGGAGGGCAGAGAGTTGGGTAGTTGGGAAACTCACCATTTAGCAGGCTCTCTGGATGATAGCCACGGTCCAGCAACTCTGAAATGCTGGCTGGATTCTTACTGCTCAAACTGCCAGTTGCAACCATGGTCAACGGCTCTGTTTCCCTCGTGGGGCAGAACGGCCTTTCTGGGCTGCTGGAAAAACAACAGAAAAGAGATTTGCAAAAGCAGCAAGACGTGCAGAGGCTCCTAAATAAAATGCCCGGCGCTGCCAGAGCGCCTTCCCCCAGACTCTTTTCTTTGAAAGAGAGGAACCAGCCTCCGCACCCCAAGTTTACAAAGCCCTGAGAGCGGAGACGCCAACTACAGCCACAACCTGAAACTAACTTAAAAGTTAGTGCAAGTTGCAAGCGACTTCCCCACTGAGCCATCCCCGCCCGCGCTGGCTCCACCAAAGTCGCCGCGCAGCTCACCTGCTCCCGAGCCGCCGCCGAGCTGGCCCGCAGCGCTGAGGGGTAAACAGAGGCAGGCACACGCCTCTGCAGCTCTAGCCCCCCGCAGTGACCCGCGAATCCCAGCAGCGATCGGTGCTGGTGTTCACCACCCCACCCACCCGACGCAGGCTCCACTAAGCGGCTTCGCCTCTGGGGCAGCCAGCACTTTATAGGTCCAACCGGCTTCCGCCGGCCCGACCCGCCCACCTGCGCAGCCGGCCACTGCCCGCGCCCCGCCCCGCCCCTCCGGGGTCAGGTCGCATTTCCACTCTGGCTTCTAGGGACCCAGAGCAAGACGCCGGCAGGCAGTAGAGAGGCAAAGCTTGGGGTTGAGCAGACACCTGCTGCTTCCTGGGTAGGCCAGGGGTCACCGTGACCTTGATTCCCGGTGCAAGACTCCTGCTCCGTCCCCTCCCCACCCCGTGTCCCTATCAATAACCTGGATTCTGTGGGCGCGACCCCTCCCCAGGCGCGCGTACTTTCACAGTCTGCCTGCCCTGGCTTTACTGTGTCATCTCTGAAAGTGTTCTAGGAGCATCATTTATGTACATGCTGTGGCTTTGAGTCCAGTCCACTGTACTCTGCGACCAAGGGTTTTTAATCCAGGGCCAGAAGGTTGCAATCCAGTTAACTCTGCCCTGAGTCTCAGGGTTTCTATATTTTTCCTTCCTGCAGGTGGTCATAGCTAGAGAAAGTTTTCCAGCATTTTAGAAAGGCTCTCAATTTCTCTGCGGGCTCCCTGGGCATCCTTCTTGTTGCTGTGTCTGTGACTAAAGCGTTTTTTTTCTCCGTGGGAAGGGTGAGCCTGGCACTCTTCTTCTAGACCTGGCCCCAGATGGCAGGAGCTTGAATTGAGGGCTTGTTTGCCAAGAAACTAAACAAAACCATTAATGGGATCCTGGCTGTCTCTTCCCCCAGCCGGATTGTTGGGAGCAATTGCCATTCCCAGAGGCAGAAGTTCCAGGCGGGCCCTGTTGAGAGGATTTGGGCTTTGGCAATCTTGAAGGGGCTTGAGGGAATGAGAATACAAGTTTTTATATCTTGCTAGGGATAATCCCTGTGGGGCGGGGAGCGCAGTCCTGAACCGGAGCACACAGAGGAACAGAGGAGCCCTGTAAAGAGACTATATTCTTGCAAAGCCATCAGCAAGAAGCCAAACTCTTCCCGGCCTCCAAGTTACTAATCCACCCCATTTGTCTCTTTGCTGTTCCAATAGCATTTGATTTGTTAGGGCCAGGCTTTTCCAATGAGGTGGAGATGCCTGGAGAGGGAGAAGGGCATTTCTACAAAGAGGGAATGTAGTGTTGGCTGCCGGATTCTTAGAATTACACGTGGAAGGATCTGCAGGTTAGGGCCTGGAAAGGCAGGATCAGCTGTCCAGGCTAAAAATTTAGTTCGAAAAACAACAGAAGGGATAAGGAGGGTGTGATAAACAGATCAGTGGGAGGACATTCGCAGGCAGAGCAGCCCAAATTCAAGCCAGCTTGCCAGTCCATTTTTAACTCGACCAAGGCAGCTGCACCGCCTGAAGGTCGAGCCAGCTTAGGAAGGAGATGCTGATAGGCTGCTCTTTCAAAGCAGATTTCCATTTCTATTTCAATAACAAAAGTGGAAAATAAACAAGTCCACTGAAGCCAATTAAAAAGCAGTTTCTGTGGCTGGTGTATTCAGGATGGATGGATGGACCCCTGTTAAGGTGTCTGATGCCCACTGCTGAGCAGACTGTCCCTGGGCATGCCACAGCACCTCCTGTCCTTATCTGGGCAGCAATATTAACCTGTTGCTTCCCACCATTCCAGAAGTGTTACATGCATAAAAACTTAAATTGAGCAACAAATACATCACTCATGGTAACTTTTGAAATAAATATTATGTTTTTAGTATTCTGTTCTTTTGAGAAAAGTAGTTGGTGACATATATATATATATATATATATATATATATATATAATAAAGGATATATAAGCTCTAGATTTCCAACCTATTTTAATGCACTGTGTCAATTTTATTGAAATACTTCCAGAATTGAAAACTTGGGACTTAATGGGTTAATGATGTTCCATTTTACCTTTCTCTGAGGATGGTTCTTAGAATTAAGATAATCAATGATCTGAAACTGTACCAGTGAAATAAAGAAATTAGCCATTGCAATATCCTTAGGGTATTTAGTCATAATTCAGAAACTAAGTACTCCCACAGGGCCAGAAATATCATGGGAATTTTTAGAAAGCAGCAGTTAGTCTTGGCTCACCTGACTAACTGAAATTTTGCAACACCCTTTGGGATTTTGCTTCAGAAAACAATCTATCTATGTGCAGAATACTTCAACAATTATCATTTATTTATTTATTTTTTGGCTGAATGAGCCTTACTCTCAAGAGTTAATAGTGCATAAGGAATGATTGATAGAGAACACACACTTGGAAAAATTGGCAGACACTGTCCTTTTTTAATCTACTTAAAATGGTAAAGAAATTCTTTCTATCTCAGGTCTGCATATTTGAAAGGCTGAACAGCTGATTTGAAAAAAAAAATGAAGCACAACAGAATTAGGGAAGACCAAGTTCCTTAAGTCTCAACATGAGATGACATACTTAGTCTATTATATTTTTTTAAATATTGTAGGGACAGTTAATTTGTAAATGAAAATTCATCACATTGGTGTACTTCAAATATTTACCAAATGCAGTGATAAAGCATGTTTTATTGTTGTTTCACCAAATCTAACTAATACTACAAAACTATGGAGGCATTTACTGCAGATAATAGTCATGAATGAATAGAAAATCTGATTGGTTAAATAATTTGCTTGCTTTTAATATACCAATGTATTATAGCAAACTACCAAAATCATAAGCAAGGCCTTTCGACTTAAACATGCTTGCTTTTTTAATTACTACAATTTACTCATCTATTAACAAAAAGAAAAATAGCAGTAACAAATGACAACTATGTTTATCTGATGTACATGATGCAAAAATTTAAGTTCCGAATGCTTCATGTATAAGTATAGTATTCATAGTATCATTGCTTACCTAAAGAGTAAATTCAGAATACCAGGGATATCACAAAACCAAAAATGGTACTTTAATGCATAGTTATATGAAATGCTGGTGTCTTGTGAATTCGTTATTTGGAATGTTGAATATTTATTATGTGTTTCACCAGTTGATTGTCTCACTCTGTCCCCTATGAGCCATTGTTTCTGAATGTTTATTAATGCATTTACATTCAGTGCATGGCTTATTTCATTTCATCAACTATGACACCTGAGGTAACACTGCTGGGCTTCTTAATCTGCACAGTGGATTCAGGGAGGATTCACAAGACATGGAAGTTGATCTGTACAATATCCAAGGTATGTCTGTGGACTCACCACATTTTTATGAGGCTTAAGAGAAACACTTTTAATCAATGCTAAATATTATCTCTTCTGTATAAACAAATATGAGATATATAAATGAATATCATCTCTGTCTTTCCCCGGTTGTGCTAAATTTGTGAATTTGGTGCCTGTGTGAAGTGCTTAGAACAAGTCCTGGTATAATGCAAATGCTTAGTGAGTGGCATTATTGTTATTGCTATTATTATTGCTCTGAAACTGTAGTTTCCTTGTTCAGTGCAATAAGCAAAGAAGTAAAAGGGGTTGGGGAAGTATTGTTAAGGTAGAACAAAATTTATGGTCTTGCCTTTTCTCAGGAAATCTGAAAAATATTTGCTACTGATTAGGAAGGCCTTTTTTATTATAAGACATCCATCACTGCATGGGAAACCAGGAAAGAGAACTATTGATGATATGAAAAAAAACACCGTGGGTGAAAAATCACATTAGTGTGAAATGCAGTTATATGTGCTAATGAAATTTATAGACAATTGAAATTACTGTCTATGGAATCTTCCACTTGTTTCAAGATATGCATTTTTCTCTGTTAACATTCTAGATGAGATATATCATCATCATGTTTGTCTTTGAAGAAGTTTTCCACTCAATGATTAATCATGCAATATGAGTTATTCTATATTAAGATCGAGGATTTCACATTAAGTAAGGTAACATGGACACTTATCTGATATAAAACAAAACAGGGCCCAATATAAAATAATGTGTAATACCTGCTGTTACAAGCTGAATCTTCCAGTAGCAGAAGGCTTTGCCTCTCTAAATTTAATCAGAGAATATGTTACCATAGTGACTTGTCTCTTAAAATAGTTGTATCGTTTTGTTCTTGTCATAAACAATGCTCTGTATTATCTCTTTTTAAGTAAAGAAAACTAAGAAGTTTTAAATGTGCACAATATCTGCTTTTCCTTAGTTATGGAAAGATTTATAGTTCAGGTGCCCATTATCACAGAATATCAGCCTGGAACATGGAGTTGATCTTTTGACATTTTTTAGGGATACATCTTAAAACCTTTGAAAATCACAAACTTGAGAAAACCTTGATGGCATTTCATTTCTCTGGAATTCTTTATGTGCATGAAGATAATAAGCTGTGTGCTCATATAGGTGTTGTATCCTTTATCAGTCCCCCTTCCTGTACCAGCCAAGTGTCATTCTTGTGAACTGGCCTTACATAGCATTTGACATTCATGATTGGGTCTTGGCAAAATTATATATTACTTCATGACATAAACCTGTGTGATTGCTCAGGAAGAGAACTGAATCAATGAGTGTTAATGAATGTTAACTTTTTAGTAAATACAAGATTCTACAGATAATCCTTAGAATAGCTCTAATTGCTAAGTATGGCAGCACACACCTATAATCCCAGCTACTCAGGAGGCTGAGGCAGGAGGATCCCAAGTTGGAGGCCAGCCTGTCTCAAAATAAGAAATAAAAAGGACCAGGATATAACACAGTGTTAAAATGCTCCTGGGTTCACTGCTCAGTACCCCACCTCTCAGATATGTTTAAACTAATAGCTCTGAGAAACTTGTAATTTGGAAACAACTAATTTGGAAGAAAGGAAGGAAAGAAATAATACTTCTAAATTTACTAAAGCACTTAGATGTATATTAATTTCTGCTGTTATAATTATATCATAAAATATATTTTAAAATATTGAGTTGGTTTTTGAAATATTATGCTTGTGATTGGGAATGATGTATATTATGGTAGAGGAGACAAATCATAAATGCAGA